ATGCAGGAGTGTTCACATGTTGATTGTAAATGGAATTATTACAGTAATTCATGTTACCTGTATGTGCAATATTATTGTTTACTGTTATCTACTTGAATAAAGACATATAAACCAGATACTGTAAGAACATTTGTCATTTAACTTCTTTGATTTGATTTCTTTCCTTTCAATTCTACATCATTTTTTTGCTATTAATGTTAATTAGTGACCAAAACTCTTTAAACACAGATAGTTCAGAAGAATTTGATGACTGATATACTGAACTCTACGATTTTCTTTTCTTCTCACTTTCTACTCTGCATTTGGAATTGCTGTTGTCATCAACAGACGCAAACGGGATTCGAATTCAATGAAGATCTTCATATTTTTCATACATTGAACTATCGTTGGTGGTGATGATGTTATCTTTTAACCACGTGATTTAGATTGGTATAGGTGGGTTGGCATTAGTAGGTTAATGTAAACGAGTTGACTTCATGTACCGTACTGTACCGTCCTAAAAAAAGAATCAATCATACAGTACAGTGCAGTACATCAATATAATTGTCTGCTTCAAATATTCCGACATCTACCTTAGCATTGTCTGTCTGTCGGGCGGAAAGTCAGTCCATCTGTCTATCCATCTGTCGATCTATCAGTCAACAATGTATTAAAATTAGCGCTCTCACTTATCTATTCAGATGCTGTGCCACCTCGTTTGAAAAACTCTGTATCCGCCCCTGGTTACCGCTTGATTAGATTATCAATTATTACTGACAAATTATATTTTACTCCTAATAACCATTTCACAAACCAATTGAATGATTGATGACAATGTCGATAATACTAAAACACATGATTTTAAAGAATATCGCGACTTAAGAAGTAGTTGTGTAGAGAGCGTCGTATTATCATCATCATGAACTCTACGTTAAATGCTTGGTTTATTACTGATGGAACAGATATTATTAAAATATTATTATTATTATTATTATTATTAGTTATTATTATTATCATTATCATTATTTTTATTATTATTATTATTATTACTACTAGAGGGTGCGCTTATCCTCTAGTAGGACCTATGTGAACTTCGCGATTAGTTTTGATGAAAACCACTAAGAGAAGACAGGTTGCATATATGTCGATGGTATCACTTTCAGTTATTTATTCAGTTACATAATGTTAGAAATGCAATGATGGTTTGATCATATTTTATGATTTACAGTACAAAGCATTCTTCATTGACATAGAAAATTACTGATGAGTTAGCTGGGTTCAGTTTTTGATAGCAATTATATATCATTTTTCATAACATAAAAATATTTAGAAACCATTAAAATGAGATGAAACAGCAGAAGGTAGTCTTACAATAAAAACATATTTTGGTCAGGTGAAACTAAAGCAAAGTTTTAACATGGAGGTACAGTATCTCTATGGTTCTACTGTTATTCATTGAGAAACCGAAAACCATAGGTTTGTTAATCGACTGTGCCTGAAAACCGAGTGTGCTTGAAAATCGACTGTGTTTGAAATTTGGCGTTCCATACAAAACCGCAAAACAACCCTGAGGCCATGGAGTTATAAAAGGTATACTGTATATGTTTTTAATACCTCCATGCTGAGACACGGCTAGGAAATATACTTAAACACCACATGTGATCAGAGAGGCTACTGTTCCAGTCAAAAAAAACAACGGTAAAAATCATTATTATTCCCTCAATTAATCTGAAATATGTAATGATTATATTCACTTTGGAAGATCGAGACTTTGAAGATCATGTTGTTACAGTTTTTCAGACCGTTGTAGGAACTTGCATAGGCCTGGGTCATTGAATTAATTTATTAAATTGTATCTTGCATTTCAGCCCTCCTGCTAAAATACAATAAATTTAACCCGGGGGAAGATGAATGAACGGATTCATGGTTTAGTGCATCCGCAATCGCTACCACAACTTCAAAATACTGTGCAGATAGCCTTAGTATACAAAGTGGGGCCAGTCGTCTATGAATAAAAGAACGGCTGACGTGGGTTTTAGAATATTAATAGGGTGTATAAGCAATAATAAAATACAACGGGCCTATTATGCGACACCCAATGAAGCTGAACGAATGAAAGGAAGGAAGTGTATACAAAGAAGTCCGGGTAGTAGGCCTACAGTACAGTGATTTTTTTTCGAAGTAAGTGTTAAAGTGCAATTAATTAAAACAATCAGTATTTATTAGTCTATAAGTTCTGGTTGAAGTGAGTTAAAATAATTGAATGAAAAATGATCGAACTTGAGGGTAATGAATGGTGTAAGTCAAGTGTTAGCGGGCTGAGGCCAAGGACAACTTTATCATTTCAGAGTGATAAATTGTAGGCCTATATAATATTGTATAAAAGAATAATAATACGAGTATCATTATAAAAGTGGCACTGACATAATACATTCCTTTAGTGGATTACTTAAATAGTATTTCAAATCTGGTAATTGTTACGGTAAAAAACGACAAGCACACTGGTGTTTCGAGATCGAGATGAAATCATAGTGTAAAATTTTAATTAGTTTGATGGATCACTGTAAACACAAAGTAAACTAATGGATAAATAATGATAATATACAGTGCTCAAATAGGAACATATCTGTCGTCAGATCAAGGCTTAATGTGTGTTAATATAAAATTATTATTATGGTTATTATGGTTCCTTTAACGTTGCTGGTTTGAGGCTTTAATGTTATTCTCCTTGTATTTTCATTGGTTAATGAACATTATATTGCCAATTTTTGCATTCTCATTTTCATTTGTTTAGCAAAAAATGTTGTTAGAATTGTTGTCGCCAATGCAGCTATTTACTTGCTGGATTAACAAATTGGTGGTACAATAAGCTAAACATTATACTGTAGATGTTTGCTCTTTGTTTGAAATCCAATACAAATATAACTTAACCATAATTGTACTGATACGCTAATCCTACACCTGAATTGCATTATTTTCCATAAATACGTTATACTGAAAACATTTTCACGGCTACCTCAATTCCAATATTAGAGAAAGATTTGACTTGAAATTGTAAATTTCCATTTCCTAAATACTTGTGCATTTTTGGGGGGTTTTTTTAAACTTTTTTTTTCTTTGTAGAAAAAGGAGAATTTAATCAGCAAAATGGACAAGGAACAAGGTAAATCCACACATTATGCGTTATCAAATGAAGCAAACCATCACGAATATATTATAAACTTAGGCCATGGGCTGGAGGGGGGTCACCGTGCACCTCCCCCACCCCCGACAGTTAAACTTCCTTGGTATCATTTTGTTCCTACGGGCATATAGAACAAAAAAATTGATGTTAACAAGAAAAATATAGGGATGCATTGTGTGTACTCGCGTCATTTGTAATGGTCGTTAGTGTTTTATGGTCAATACTTTTTTTGGGGGTGGGGAGGGGTAACATTTATGCCCATAACCTGTGATTTAGAAATCCCATAAATATTATTTTGGTAGCAATGTGTAGCATATATGTTTCTTAATCATATGCTGTTTAAATAAAATTAATCTGACAATTATTAACGACACTAGAGGTCAAAAGGTCATCGACCTTTTTCTAAAATGCAAATTTTTTCATAAAATATCAATGAACTTCAGTGTCATATGTCTAATTTTGGATGTATTTGATATAAATTGTGTTTTTCTTGTAGTTATTGACATATGGAATACAAAACTTGAGGTTAACAAGAAAAAAACTTAAAATGAATTATGTACTATTGTCAATGTTTATGATCCGAGAAATTTGTAATCAACAACAGTTTTTGGGGTAAGGGGGTAACATTTATGCTCATAACTCTTGATTTAGTCAATGGATTTGTATGATGTTGGTATCAACATTTAGCCTATAGATTGGTTAGTCATCCAAATTGAAAAAAATGTTGAATAATAATAATAATAATAATAATAACAACAACAACAACAACAACAAGATTTATAAAGCGCACAAATCCACTGCAGTAGTGCTCAAGGCATAGGGGAGACCGGGGTCAATTGTAACACTTTTTGGAAAATTGATCCTACCACCTTTGTTAAGGTTAATTGAGTGTTCAAACCTGTTCAAAATGAAAGATAATTATATGTCACAGTATAAGATCCTACTGGGTTTGAGTTTAATAGAACATTATATTTTTAGGATATTTACAACTAAATATGTGACGTCATATGTTACAAATGACCCGCGGTAAGGGGCAATTGTAATAACGGTAAGGGGCAATTGTAACACACTAACAGTTACACACCATACATCTTCTTTTTAACAAATTGAATGTATATGTTGATTAAAACTTTATTTAACATGCAAACATATATTTAACAATGTTTGTCAAACAAGAGATTAATTTAAACATAATTTTCGTATGTATCTATTATATTGTATTATAGTATAAGTTTGATTTTTTTTTACTATTTACGAACCGTACATAAGTTTAATATCACCTCAGAAACGATAATTATAAATCAACAATGCCTTGTGTATTCATTATTGGCCTATACATTGTTACAAATTTTAATTAGGTCCCAATCATATCTTAATCTTTTATACTGTATCATATTCATAAGCTAAAGTAGGCTAAGTCCACTAAAAGTTGTCCATGCAGTAGGCTTTATGTATTGAAATACAAATCAACTGATTTTGATCCACTGTAAATGATGTCTATTCAGATTCACAGTTTTGACATACAAAGAAAGATTCAAATGATGTGCACTCCTCATGGGCCCAATAATGCTCTAGCTTGAACAATTCCTTTCCATGGTTTGTAGACTGCTGCCTGTGGCGAAGCATTCTGAAATGAATTAAAATATTGTTTTTTAACACTGCATAAAATTCTCGAGGGGCAATTGTAACACTCTGTTACATTTGCCACCGACCTAGACAGGTATCATTATCGGCCTTTTGGATATTGTTCGCAAGTTAACAGCATTAAAACATTCACCACAATACAAGCATAAATGTACACTGTTTTCATCATGTAAAACACCCGGTAGCTCAAGTTCCTATACATACAATCTAAAATATTAAATAACCACAAAAGTTTACTTACCTGGTCAAAAAAAAAAATCGTTTTTTGGCTGTAAAATCTCTTCCTTTTATTATTAGCTAGCGATACTCGGTTAACATGTGGAAACATGATAAATGCATGCACAGTGCTAAACTCGAATTGCTGACGTACTCCTACCAGCGATGAGATCATTTGTTACATTTGCCCCGTGTTACAATTGACCCCGGTCTCCCCTACTTTTAAAAAGTAATTTACACATTTATAGTACATTTACTGTATACGACCATGGAGGTATAAATATATGCTTTTTATACCTCCATGGTATTACAACGTTCGTATTGATTTATCACTATCCTTGTATGTATCTACTTGTAATTTTAACTTGAACTATGTTCTACTTTTAAACTTTTAATAGGCTTATCTGATGACGATTTCTTACAGTTGTTGGTTCATACATCAACATGGTATGATAAACAACGTTTAGTCCCGATGTTAAAAGTTGTATACAAGGACCATATTGAAACTTATAGTCTTGAAAGTGCTTCGAAGACGATGGACTTATTAAAAAAATTAATGGCAGCTGGGAAGCTGAGTCAAGGAAATCTCACTCTCCTTTATGATACCATACATGTAACAGAAACACATGGCTTGTTGCAGAAATTGAAGATGCAACTACCGTCGTATCGTAGAGAAACTCTCAATGAACACAGGGAAAATTTGATCAGGCTCGGAAAGAAACTAACGCTAAGTGACGTATATATAATCAAAGAACTTTACGAGGAAACAAGATATAAAGAATATAAAGAGAGTTGGAGTTTGATTGTGGATCTTGAAATTGTGGGTATAATTAGTGACGATGGAAAGATCATGAAGACGTTCATTGACAAGTTAAAAAGAAATAATATAGAAAGTGGATTACGTGCTCTAGGCCTACGTAGGCCTATTGGTATGTTATTACTAATCACTGTAATAATAGTAATGATAATATTATTTACAAATATATTAATAATTAATAATAATATAATAATAGAAATAGCAATAGCAATAATAGTAATGGTCATACAGTAGCAGAAGTAGTATAGTAGTTATAGTAGTAATGGTCTAGTAGTAATAGTAGTAGGTCTAGTAATAATATTCACAGTAACAGTAATAGTAATATAGATTATTGATCAGTGATGATGTATAGGTCTATAAACCAACATATAATCTTATGCCTTCTTATTATAATTATTACATTTTACCATTATTTTCAGAATTAACAGACAGTAGTTATATCAAAGAACCTTCAAATACTAATGTAGACCGCTCATTTATAGGTAAAGTATTATTTGTTAGCACACTGATTATTTTGGGCATATATCTCCCTAAACTTTGAGCTTAGATTCAATATTTGTTCCTCTACTATTTTATGGGATTTTTTTATTTTCTTGTATTATTTTTTTGATGGTGTTATAATATTGTAATAGAAAAAGTTTCCTTTCCTAGTCAATGGCTTTATTTTATTTCAGTAACTTTCGGTAACTGTATAATAGTGTGACGGTAGTTAACCTTCATTACCTGCCGTCAAGTGGCGGTTCACTCAGTTACGTGATCTTTAGTGATGTTGTTATAGTTAAATGACAAGAGTCTGTTGTTGTAGATTGGTGGTAGGTCGAAATTAAATGCAAAAATGTAACAAAATACACTGGAGGAATGGTGAAAATATTAAGCACATGCGCTGCATTAATGCCCACACCAATCGATGGCATGAAGTAGGCTTACTCTTAGGCCCGTATTCTTAAAACGAACCTTAGTCGAACTTCCAGCTAGAACTTCATTTAGTCGTAGTCGCAACTTCAACTCATTCATAAACAACGTAGTCAGTCTTTTGATAGTGAATTATTTTTTCAATAAAATTTGACACTGTTTAGGGTGTTCAGTCTGTGCCTTTGATACTGAAGAGTTTAGAATTATAACTCTGAAGTTATCTCTCAGTCACCTTTTTATGTATTGTGTACGATTTTTCCAACATTCCATTCATCGGGTATTGTTTCAAAGATTGATAGTCTTTGAAATGAATTATATAAGAATAATATAAATTCATCATTCCCACGTTTCATTATTTTGCATTACTATCTTCATTTTGTATTAGAAGTACTTCTGAAAAAAGTTCACATTAAAGTTCGCATGTTAAAGGTTTATATGTGCCGTCACAGAGGATACTGGTGCCATCACTGGGGAAATAAGCGACGCATAGGTAAGTTGGATCAGTGCAGTGTTATTGTTAGCTGGTCGACCTTACAGTATTACATATGTTTCTCAAGTTCATATTTGTTTCAAATACAAGGGTGGATCCGGTTTTTTGGGGGTTTTTTTGGTGGTGGTGGGGCACAGTAGAGTGAAAGAGGCAGAATTTAAGAATAGGCACCTCTAGCTATACCCGGAGTACTCTTAGAC